ACCTCAATGTTTTAGAATTTTTTCAGAATTTTTGTACGACTCAATGTTTTAGAATTTTTTCTTTTGTACGAAATTAAATAGACAAAAAGGGCCAAAAACCGGAATTTCGTTTTTTCCCTTTTACTACCCCCACGGATGAGATAGGGGGTTGAAACTTGGTGTGAGATGTTTTTTTTTGGATATACTACCGACTGACGAATTGGGTTTCTAATTCGACTCAAGGGCACATTTGACTAGCTTATCCGGCTATACCCTTTCACATCAAACACAATATTATAACGAAATGGAAATTTACCAACTTCTGTCACGTCTACCGGACTTTATAACATTTCAGTGACACTTGTTAGCTGCTGGACACGTCTATTCTCTTCTAGATACGTCTAGAACGACCGAGTCAGAAAAAATGTCCCCTATGTACAATGGCTCGAGCATTGTGAATATGCGCCATATGTTTGAAGAATTGAAAAAAATGAGCAACCATGCTAACAACAGGGAAGACTGTGGAATAAAATATCTGGAAATAACCGGCATAAAACGGTCGGGCCTGAGGACAACCCTCGGCGTAGTGTGTACTATGTGCCATTATAAAAATTATAAAGGTGAAATCCACAGTCAACCTGATGAAGTTCAAGAAATGAATATCAATCAAAGTGCCGTGGCTGGTACGATATTTACTGGTGGCAGCTACGCCCAATTGGAAAAATTTCTTGCTGCAATGAACATACAATGTATGTCGAAGAGGCAATATGTAAAGCATCACGATGAAATCGTGAATTCGTTGATTGCTGCAGCAGAAAAAGAAATGATACGAGGGTTGCCTTTTAAGTTTTTACAATCGAACAATAGGTGGCGTTAATGAGTTATGGCACCACTGTATTTGTGAACATTGACGTTTGTTATTGCGAAGCCAGTGGCAATTTAGAAATTGACTGAGTAAGTTGTTGATAGTGAACGTTTAAAAGAAGCAAGTTTGTGCAAAAATGGAGATCACCTGTGAAGGCTTACGTTGGATGATTTTTCATGATTTTAAAAAAGGCCTTACTCAACAGCAATACATAGAATCGCTTCGTGCAACTTTTGGTAATGAAGCACCATCAGAGAAGACTGTTTACAATTGATTTGCAGAATTTCGTCATGGTCGTGCGTCCGTCAGAATATCGAGAAGGTCGGTCAAAATCGGTTGTCATTCCGAGAAACATCGATGCTGTGCGCAACATGATTAAAGAAGATCGGCATGTGACTTACAGACAGATAGAGGCGTCTCTTAGGATATCGCAGACTGCAATACAATCGATTTTGCATGAACATTTAGGTGTGAGAAAGATGTGTTTCAGATGGATTCCGCATAATTTGACCGAAGCACAAAAAAAGGGTCGTGTTGATTGGTGTCAGGAAATGCTGAAAAAATTCGACCGAGGACGTTCAAAATCCGTATACAACATTGTTACAGGAGACGAAACTTGGATATATTCGTATGATCCTGATCATGCGATTTTCATCACCTCAAGAAGCTGTTGAAGACTCAAAACCATGTTTCTACGATATCAGCTTCAGAGTGGAAAAAATGTTTCCAGAATTGGTTTGAGCGTATGCAAAAATGTATGGACCTTAAGGGCGAATATTTCGAAAAGCAATAAAACACTTTGTTTCGATCTTGTTCGTTTCTGCTTCACTTTTTGTAAAAACTTAAAAGGCAACCCTCGTAGCAGCGGCTGAAGAAGAAAAACAATTAGCTATTGAAAAAGGAGATATTCTTCCAGGTTCTGGAATCCCGCACATTCCCGTTGTTGTCGACGGGAGCTGGATGAAAAGATCATACCGCACTGGAACATATAACTCTGCGACCGGAGTTGGCGCAACAATTGGATATCGCACCAGAAAAATTTTATTCATCGGAGTGCGGAACAAAACATGTAAAATTTGTGATTGTGCTATAAGAAGAAAGGAACAACCCCGAAAACATGTCTGTTTCAAAAACTGGACAAGGAATCAAGCGTCCACCACTATGGAAGGCGATGCCATAATGGAAGGTTTCAAAACCAGCGTGCAAAAGCGGGGATTGATTTATTCCACACTAATCGCTGATGGAGACAGCAGCGTATATAAAAAAATTATTGATGCCGATTCGTACAAAACAGAAATTCGTGTGAAGAAAATTGAATGCACAAATCATTTATTACGGAATTTCTGCCGAAAAATGAGAGAAATTGCAAAAAAAACGACAGCAGGAAGTATGAGAAAAGCTGTTGAAAATAGCATTCGGCGAATACGGACGGCGATAGTAAAAGCCGCGCAATATAGAGA